ACCCACCACTGAATTCCAGGGGCTTCAGTCATCAATATCTTATCTGAATAGTGGGAAAACAATTTATACAGCTATATAGAAAATGTTTTTGTATAGGAAACTAAGTATTTAGGCTACTTAAAAGCTGTTTAAAGCTGCCTCAAGCTGCCTCTGATGTCAGTTCTTTTGGCTAAACTGACTTTGATACAATGAACTGTTTTAGTTGAAACTGAAGTTACTTTGAGATCACACATCATCAATAAAGTCTCCGTTCTGAACAAAACTGAATTCACAACTTGTCATATCAGGAAAATGGAGACCTGCCAGGGAAAATAGTCTAGTGAAAAAAGGCTCACATTCCTCAAAACCAGAATTGTAAAGTATGGTCAGGTCAGTGTTTATTCAGTCCATTTTTCCATTTAGAGGAAATCAAGGGAAAAGCACTGAAGAATCCACAGTTCCTTTAGAAGAGGCAGTCTTAAAGCCTTGTTAATTCGGGAATATATTAGTGGCACAGCTGACACTGAATAACTTATTTGACAGGAGCTACAATAAAATAACTAAGCGTGCCCACACAAGTCTGCAATAAAACCCAGTTTGTCTGGAAGGATTACTCTTATTTTTAAAACAGAACTTGTATTGAAAAGGGGAGAGACTATGCTCCAAAAATCTGCTCTGGTTTACCCTTCAATGAGTAACTGCACAACTCTTCCAAGAATGAATCTGGGGATAAAAATTAGATATGCTTTCCTCCTTCAAAATGACACAAGCTCAACATGCTTTCTAACGTAATTCTGCATAATGCTCTTTTTAATTCAATTGCATTGCAATCATCAGGAAAAAAAATACACTTTTTTTAGTTCAGGGAGATTTACATTGGAATGCAATCTACACTTTGCTTTCTCCTTCAAAGTTTGAAATCTTAAAAGCCTTTTGCAGTGTTGTAACTCCTCCAACAGAGGTCACTACCTTACAATTTGAACTTCCAGAGAAAGGGAAGCTTGTAACAAATGTATTCATACTACCTTAGAGCCTTACAGCTCAGAGTCAGCTATTTTCTTCCAGCCCAAATACTGCATTTAGTCCACGATACTATGACATCATGGAAACAGTGGCTGATCTTGAAGTTTGTCTTTTTTCAAAGTAGGCTGAGAACATTCTATTTTTATCAGGTAAAGATGCAAAAAAGTGTTTAACAAGAGATGTGGTAGATTTACAGATTGTTTTTTTATTATTTTACAGAAAAAGCTTCTTACTCTACAAAAGATGGTATGCCTATTAAAACTGTGCTCTAATACCACATTACTAAGAAAGTTTCATATTTCAAAGACGTCAGCCTGTAATTCAGCTGTCAAGCTCTCATCTCCAAAAAAAACAAACTCAACAATAATTTGTATGGTAAGTCCTTCTCCTGCCAGCTTTTTATTTCAGTGTAAAGATGGGGGGGAGGAGGGGAACAAACCCCACCAAAAAAAAAAAACCAAGCCCCAAACCTGCAAGTTTTATCTAACTGCTAGAAAAAAAAAAGTCTTTTCAATACCTAACTTCACTATAGTGTCTAGTTCAATTGATCTGCCACCTTTTAGTTGGTATTTTACTTGTGAAAAAGCACTCCTCTTCAAGCCTAGTTTTATTTGGAAATGTGTTTTCTTTCAAAATAGCCAAATTTCCATCTATAAGAATCAGACTCCCATATGTTTCAGTACCCAAGCTGGGTGAAGTTGTACTGAGGCTCTGACAGCCAGCCTTGATAATGCTGCCATCTAATGTACTAGGACAAGGAGTACAATCAGCTGCATCACTCTTTAATACTCAAATGACATGTTTTCCTTCAGTTTGGCTCCAAACTGTTGCACCCCTTCAGCACCTTGGCTTGCAAATCCTACACTAACAATATTATGACAAATTACCTAGTCATCAAGTTGATGGATATAAATATTCACTGACATATTCTATCTTAAGGGATTTTTTGGAATGTTGCAGTACCAAACCACAAACCTTGTGTGTACGAACCTGACACTGACTGTCCATCTGTGAATTCAGTTCAGTGACACACCAGCTCTGATCTACCAAGGAGGAAGGGAAGTTCTATGGCCTTCCAAATCACATAAGCTGGAAGGGCAGATTTCCATATTTCAGGAGAACTTTCTGATTATTTTGTGGAGTTTCCTTTTTCTGAGACACCAGTCAGACAAAGTATGTTTGCAAAATATAGAAGGCTAATAAAACACATCAAGTTACTGATAGTACAACAGAAAATGACTAGCAGAATGATTTCCTTACCATCCCATCTGTTTTCAGAAACAGAAACAAAACAGGCAGGCATTAGGCAGGGCAGACAGAGAAAATTGGTTTCTACATAGTTGGTTGCGTCTTTAAAGTTTCACAGGAGATTTCTTGCAAGATCAAGGTTCTACAGCCATCTTTGTTACTTCCAGTTACTTCTTCAGATAGCCTCATGAGGCACAGTATCAACTACTTTTATTGAGTCTGGACAGTTATTTCTTGTTAGAAAGCAAGTGTAAAAAACAAACAAACAAAAAACCCAGAGCACACTGGTCCAGATCTCTCTAGCTGTGCTAAATCTGATCATCTCATTTTCCATCTCTCCCAACATATCTCAAATTTTGTTTTAATCTTAAAATCAAACTAGAGGTGTCCTATAAGTGTAAGCTATAAGACACTTTATTTTCATCCACGTATTGGAAATACGGAGGAACATTTGCTATTCTCCAGTGATATTATACAACCTGCAAACCATTAAGATCAGTAGCAAGGATGCAGAATATCATGCAGAGTTACAACTCCTGCACCAGTTCATCTGTGACCTCTACAAGTCCATCTCACCTCATCTCACAAGGAGTTTGCAGCAGTTCTTGGGGAAAACGAGGCACATATGCGGAATAGAAAGTCATTAAACAATACTGAATACATTTAATAATCACATCTGGCTCCAAAAAATACTTGACCTGAAAATATATACTAAAAGAACCATCAATGTATGCTCTCCCTGTTCCCACTCTTCCCCAGGCATCTGCTCACATTTGAAGGTTCAAGTTTTGTTAGGTACTAAGCTTTTTTCAAGTTTTAGCCTTACTCAGAAAGCAACATCTAGGTAAATTTGCCCCATTCTTTGAAGCTTACCCAGTTTTCAATAGACTCCAGATCTTTACTACTGTTAGCTTACTGGTGCTTTGCTCTTGAAAGTGTTGCCTGGGTGGGGCTTCTGTCAGTCCCTTCAAACCCTTCACAATGGTGATTCCCAGCTGGTTTAAGATGCTGTTAAGCATCTGGCAGCTACTTTGTCTCAGCACAACTGGAGAAGGTGAAAGCATCAGCAGTCAGACACCTGAACTTTAGGGCTGCTGAAGTGGACACCAGCACCTTGGTTTATAAACATTTTCCCTTCGATACCCAAAATACTGTTGATTCACAGTGTCTTCAAAGAAAACAGAAGTTCCTTGCCATGTGTTGTAGCTGTTCACTGGACAGCCTTCCTCCTTTTGCAGGCAGTACCATTCCCAGCAATGCCTCTTGAGTTTTGCTACCTTTTCTGTATGACTCTCACCTTCCTGAGCAGGAGCACTGCTCTAGTGGAGGAATAAGTGGGGGGTGTGAAAGGATGAGCAAAACCAAGTGCACACATGCAGAGGGAAGTAAGATGGTGATTCCCAGAGACTATAGGTGCCTAGTAGACCCATGGTCTGACTCAGTTTAGCGACTCTTACAATGTATCCTTTGCAAATGCACACGATGCTGTAAATAAAAGTTGTCACTAGTTCTAATTGCAACTTTGCTAATACACTTATCCATGACTTCAGAAGAAAAGGTTACCAAATGAAAAAGGTACTACTACTGCTGACACTGGATGTTTTTCCATTAGTTTATTGTAGATTTGGAAAATATTGCTGCATGCTTGCCCAGTTCCTAGACTCATTCCATAAACCCAGAAGGCAAGACAGTAGGCCAGAATGACTGTTGGTCTGACCCAACATTACCAGAAACTCTCTAAAGAATGACAAAAATGTGATATAAATCTCATCAAAACCAGCAACTCTGCAAAACAAGTATTTTAGTAGATCAATCATTCACTAAAATAAGGGACAATTACTTCAGTAACACATTTATAATGCCATATATTCTTAATTACTCAATAGAGCATTCAAATAATTTTGGACACCGCACTTAGAAATGTTTTCTACTGTTGTCAGCAAAACTGATAACAAATCAATTTAATCAGCTCCCCAGAATTCAAAGAGCTTTTTGATAATTAATCAGAAATGGGAGAAAAATAAATCCTACCTCATGTTTGCTAGCATCACCTTCCAAATCTGACAGAAGATAGCTATGCTGGCACAGCACAATAAACATGAAGTATAACACACACACTCTATGCAGTAGCTTAGATGCCAAGTAGGTGATAAAACTAAAAGCTAAAACCTTCACATGAGCGCATGCTACCTCTTCAGTCTTACAAGCCAGTTCAGAATACTGGTTTCTAGCATAAGGCGTCTGGTTCAGATAAGAAGTAAAGTTACACAGTAACTTTACTGAAGAGACTGAGAAAGAAAAACCACCAAAACATGTCTTCACTCAGATCTTCCAAGGAGTTTAAGCACAATCTTCCAGGGTACGTTCTTAGATGTGGCCAAACTACTATACTCTGTGCACTCCACAAATGCCTTTATTGAAACAATGGTACTTCTTCACATCGCTACAGTGAAGAGTTTTCAAAAGCATTACCAGGCTGCATGGTGAGTTACTGTGCAAGCAAAAAACCACACACTTGCAACCTGGTTTAGCATTTTTAACCAGAGAGGCATAAATTACGTTATAGATCAGGACTTTCTAGTGAACACTACAGATTTCAAAAGTTGTAGAATGAAATAGGGAAAAACAAGTTCTTGAAGAGAAAATTGCTCATATTCAGTACAGTCCCATTTTCTGTCCTTTAACATATTATAATTTTTGCTTCTTATATGTCAGGAGAGTTTTCAGGCAGGTTAAGTTTCAATTCTTACCTACAGCCAGTGCTGCACTCTGTTCTTGGCCTCCAGTCTGTTTTAAAAGAAAAAGAGATTATGAAAATTCATTCTTTTGCACCAAAAGTCTTAAATGTAATGCTACATGACCTTGTAAAAGCAAACATGCATCTGTTCCAGACATTGTACTATTTTTCTGGATTTACTTTATCAACGTAGTCCTGGATCTATATGCCACTGTGACTTTTGAAAATGCAGAACTGTGTTTTATCTCTAGGCATATAAATAAACAGGGAACACAATTATTTGGCAACAAACAATTGTTTGGGAAAAAGGCTGCTGGTGTTAGATAATCCGTAAGAACACATACCCCTAATAAATTGAATTAGTAAAGAGTCAAAGCTGCAATAAAATACCAGTGACAAATTGTTCCACTTTCTTTTCAAAGCAAAATGAAATGCAAGAGTGTAACACAAGATTCTTAATTCAACCACACAAATTAGCTCTTGAAAAAAATTCATGGCTTGCATACTGACCTCCAGAGAAGGCATTTTCAAGTCACCACTGAAAACCATTTGCTTAACAAAGAAAACGAGCATTCTTGGACAGTCTGTTACACACATTATTAACCACCATCTTAAGGCTGGTGAAATAGTAATTTTAATAGTACAGTTTAAGGGAAAAGATACGGAGTACTACAGTATCTCATAGAGCTTGAGCTTCACAGGAAATAATAGTGTAATGTTAGCTGGGGAAGGCTCTGAAGATCTACAACACCATAGGCAAGAAGCAGAGTGGAGACCCTAGTGAGAACGACCCTTCACAGCCCGCAGAACTAAACATAAGCAGAAGGACAACTGTTAGACACTGTTACAGGTGTAGAAATTTATTGCTCCATTCTTTCCTGTGTATGCATCTCTCTCAAAGAGGCTTCTCCCTTGACTAGGATTTCTGTAAGTTTGAGTAGCATCTGCTTTTTCCTTTGCCAATTGGCATCAACTTCCCTTTACTCTCTCAGTAGTAAGCAACAGCTAGCTAGTACTTCAGGACAACAACTACTACACAGGACAAAAAGATGGTTAAGAGCACTATCTTTGTAAAAGCTGCTGCAACTTTCCTAAAACTCACGTGCTCTCACTAGGCGTATTTTAAATATGGAATTTTTTCCATCCTCATGACTGCACACCGCTCAATTTGTGCTTTGAGACAAAGCAACAAACATCAAATACTGACTAGAAAACATTGGTGCCCTGCGGGTCAGGGATGAACATAACTGATACTGCAAATAGAGAAACCGAAACCAAAGTTAGACCCAACATTACTTCAAATAGCTAATTTCCTGAAAAAAGTGAAAGGAAAATCAAATAGGACAAAACATTTAAGAACACTAAAAAACTCTACCTAAAAATAGATTATTTTGGGGGGATTAGTCAAGAGCTTTGGTTAAGATGATTTTGGGTGAGAGTCCAACCTAATTCACTGAGCTGAAAACAAAAAGAAGTCCTAATTCATTAGAATGACCAGACTATAGAAATAAATATGACAGCAATAGAGGAAAAACACCCCACTATAACAGCAAGACTACGGACTTTTTAAAAAATGTTTCCTAACACTACTAGTTCCTTACTAAACAGAAATATCTAAATTTCCAATTGATAAAATTATTAGAAAAAAAACTAGAATTGCTCAGCTCTCTACATCTTTCCAGACGGAACACTGCACTTACAATCACAAACACTTACTACCTGCAAGAAAAGCGTGCTGATGCTCAGGTAGCTTGTCCTCAAGGCTTCAATGAATGACTGAATGGCCTCGTAGAGCCATTAGGCAAAAGGGAAGCAACCAGGAAAGCTGAGAATTATAGGTCAGTTGGACTATCATCAATAACAGGCAAAGAGATGTTAGCACAGGAATCCATTAACTGGATTCCTGTCTTTTAGTACCAATGAGCACGCCTTCATGCGGAACAGTTCAGATCATGCTATTAGCTTGGTTTATACTGGCAAGCTGACAGATATTTGATTTTTGTACAGTGTGACTTCACATCATACAATATTTTAAATTTAGAGGTTAGCACTATGCAATATAATAAAGCACTGCCTAAATGGGTAAGAAATTGACTTGCAGATCTCTAGCAGTCAGTGGGCAATAATCAGTCAACATTCATTAAAAGGGCCAGATGTGAAATTAATGGTGTGATAGATTCTTTACACAATTTTTGCACTTCGCATGCACCCTGATTCAGACCCAAGAGTATCTAAATGAACAATCGCCTCTTGTCAGGTTCAGAGTGCATTACTTGGGTTCTCCCAGTTAGTACAGAAGATCTGCAAAACATCTGAGCTTCCTTCTGACTCATTATTAAGGTCTGGATCTACAGATTAATATAGAAAGAGTATCAACAGGCACAAGATGAGACATGTATAGTATATAATTTAATAGCTAGTGAAAATTGAATACTACAGAACCAAGCATTTTTTCAATTGCTTGTGATTCTGAGGCAGCCAAGTATTTAACATTATGTTAGAGAGAAGCAGCTCTAGGCAGGCAAATTACCTTTATTCAATGGGTTAACAGCTCAGAGATTTTGTTTAGCCTTTTTTAAATACCATTTTATGGAGTCAAACAGCAGAAAGATTGATGAATCCCATCCTAGGAATCTCTATTACACAACCCCCCCTTGACTTGCAGCCTAACTTCACCACAGCAGGAGAAGGCCAAAGCTTACACTAACATCTCAGACCAACTACAACAGGAATTCAAAGAATTGTCACAACACTTGGAGACCAAGTGCAGAAAAATGTCTACAGCCATTGGAGAGGGACGGTGAATCATCTAAACTGCAGCTATTCATTTTCAGAAGAAAACAAAACCAAGCATCATTCAGTTTGTCAGAGGAAAAGCCTGTAGTTGACACAAGTCAAATGGTACCCAAATATAAAAGATGCACTAAGTAAACTTGGTATCATTGTGGATAACAAAACTTGAAAAAAAAAATTAGTAACTGGCTGTGGTGGGTTGACCCTGGCTGGAGGCCAGGTGCCCACCAAAGCTGCTCTATCATTCCCCCCGCCACCCTGCCTCAGCTGGACAGGGGAGAGAAAATGTAACAAAAGGCTCATGGATTGAGATAAGGACAGGGAGAGATCACTCAACCAATTACCATCATGGGCAAAACACACTCAACTTGGGGAAAATTAACTTAATTTATTGCCAATCAACCAGAGCAGGGTAATGAGCAATAAAACCAAATTTCAAAACACCTCCCCCCCCACCCCTCCCTTCTTCCCAGGCACAGCTTCACTCCCAGATTCTCTACCTACCCCTCACCAACGGCGCAGGGGGACAGGGAATGGGGGTTGCAGTCAGTTCATCACACGTTGTCTCTGCCGGTCCTTCCTCCTCAGGGACAGGACTCCTCACTCTTCCCCTGCTCCAGCGTGGGGTCGCTCCCACAGGAGACAGTCCTTCACGAACTTCTCCAACATGGGTCCTTCCCACAGGCTGCAGTTCTTCTCGAACTGCTCCAGCATGGGTCCTTTCCACTGTGTGCAGTCCTTCAGGAGCACACTGCTCCAGCGTGGGTCCCCCACAGGGTCACAAGTCCTGCCAGAAAACCTGCTCCAGCGTGGGCTCCTCTCTCCACGGGGCCACAGACAGGTCCTGCCAGGACCCTGCTCCAGCACAGGCTTCCCATGGGGTCACAGCCTCCTTCGGGCATCCACCTGCTCCAGTGTGGGGTCCTCCCTTGGCTGCAGATGGATATCTGCTCCCCCGTGGACCTCCCTGGGCTGCAGGGGGACAGCCTGCCTCACCATGGTCTTCCCCACGGGCTGCAGGGGAATCTCTGCTCTGGTGCCTGGAGCACCTCCTCTCCTCCTTCTGCACTGACCTGGGGGTCTGCAGGGTTGTTTCTCTCACATGTTCTCACTCCTCTCTCTGGCTGCCGTTTCTGTGCCCACTGCAACTTTTTTTCCCTTCTTAAATCTGTTACCCCAGAGGTGCTACCACCGTTGCTGATGGGCTCAGCCTTGGCCAGCAGTGGGTCTGTCTTAGAGCCGGCTGGCATTGGGTCTATCAGACATAGGGAAAACTTCCAGAAGCTTCTCACAGAAGCCACCTCTGTAACCCCGGCTCCACTACCAAAACCTTGCCACACAAACCCAATGCACTGCCTAACCACTGAATAAGCCCTGCGTTTTGGGCATCCACCTCATATTGAACTGATGCTGCTTAACTCAGCAATACATGACAACAGATTTCAGAAGAGAAAAGCTAACCATTAACTTTCAGTATGAAACCAACATCTTCTGCCTAACCCTGACTGAATTAAGAAGCCTCTACACACAAGCATAAACTTGTCAGCAACTGTCAGTCAAGATTTGCTACAGGAATGGTGATTTTGCAGGCTTTCCAACACTCAGGTTTTCCTGCCTATTAAGAACAGAAAACATTGAGTAGTATGAAAGAATTGACAACAACTTTGCAATAAGAATCTAAATTACTTTCTGTGTATTTGATCAGTACCTCAGCTTGTCAGGAAACTTCAGAAAGAATTACTGCATAAAGCTTACAACACTTACTAAAGAAAGCTTGCACAGGATTCAGTATTCCATGCGATGTATTAGGCACACAGGCTTTACTAGTCGTCTTCAAAACAATCCACTCTGCTGCTTTCACAGAGCAAATGTTTAAATTGCTTGTTTGAAGTTCAAGCTTGCACTAGGATTTCCCTTGGTAAGTGTCACCAACTTGAACTCTGTGCGAACCAGAGGTGGACTACGGCACAGATGTTCTCAGTCCATGAATCTTAATTGCCCTTTGCATATTTCTGAACAGAACAGAACCTAGCTCAAAGACTACAGTGCTCTGGCAATTTTTAGACACTCCTGCTCTCTTGCTTCAGTTGCAGACTTGAAATTAAGTTTGAGGAAACCACTCCAAAAACTGGTTACTCTTAGAAGCACACATTAAAACATAAAACCAAGCCCAGTCCAAAACAGAACCACAAGTCAAATATATCCCACATCTTGTGGGTAATAAAAAAAGAATGCTAAGAAATGTTTAGCAGTAAAA